TTTGCCAAGCGAAGAAAACCCAATGCCGATGGCAAACACCGGGGGCGGCGGCTTGTTTTACAACGTCGTTGCCAAGCGACGAAAACCCNTCATCCCCCTTGCGCGGAGCGAGTGTTTTCCACCCCGCACAACATGATCTACTCGACCACCATTATGGTTACCGCCAAAAAAAAGAACCGGAGGTAAAATAAAACAAAACGGTAACCTGGTTGCCGAGTTCACGGATTGAATTGGCTTGTTTTACAACGTCTTTGCCAAGCGAAGAAAACCCAATGCCGATGGCAAACACCGGGGGCGGCGGCTTGTTTTACAACGTCGTTGCCAAGCGACGAGAACCCAACCCCGATGGCAAAACACCCGGGGCGACAGCACATGGGTGATCTTTTTCTTGTTGAGGTGCTGGGGGTGTCGTCACAGCTTGCCGTGTGACGTTGACAGCCTCACGGTGCATTGTAGATGCAACTGAGGATGCTCCATGCCTTACACCTCGAATGATGAGTATTTTACTGAGCTCTCCGGTCATTGGAATCTCTCGACTAGTGGTTGGAACTCGAGGCCACAGGAAGAACCTGACGGATGGGCATCCGATTGTGCCATGTGTTTCGAACCATTTTGTTCGACGATACCGACCCCGCCGCAGCTTGGAGCCGTTGTGTGTAGCAATAGCACCCGAAGACATATCTCGAGCGGGAGTCTTTTTCCGGTGCTCTCTTCAACGTCCTGCCCGGAGTTGTCTTCGAAGCCCGGACCTGATTAGGTTACAGCTCGTGTGAACAGGGAGGCATTGGTGCCTGCGACAGATCCGGTAGCCGACGAGACGATCGAAAGGATATTGTCACGAGGGACGTTTGAGAGATCGGGATGCTGGACCTAAGTGTCAGTGCAATATGCTGATGGTGTTCGACGCGAACCGAATCGATGTGGATTCTGAGGGAACCAATAATAGGCGCTGTCTCATAACTGGTGTTGGCTTCTGGACAACAGTTTGGCTAGGTTGTCGAGCACCTCCGTTCAGTACACACAAGGCGTGGTCTGTCCTGCGTTACATTTGCAAGTTGACCAGGCAATGCGACTCATTGTGCTTTTGTCTTGTGCAGGGTCCATTCCCGAGGCGCTCGGAGCTCTCAGCGAGCTGAAGAATCTTGACATGAGCAAAAACAAGCTTACTGGTGAGATGTAGGATGGCGTGCGAAGATTGATTCCTTTCGTGTCTCGCCCCGCGGAAGGTCGGACCGATGTTCAACCAGCCGGCCGCATCATACCTTGTCACCACGCCGCGCCCACCAGCGGCGAACTACAATGACGAGATCACCATTTGGCTCTTGCGATTTTTGCAGGGTCCATCCCGAGAGAGCTTGGAGGTCTCGGCAAGTTGGAACAGCTCTGGCTCAGCGGCAACGAACTTACCGGTAAGGGAGAGTTAACCTCCGTGTTGTGCGGGAGCAGTTCCGACTACGACGCCCTATTTGGCGACCCTCTCTGCGTCTTCGAGTCGCTCAGTTGGATTGGTGCATGTCACGGAGCCTTGGCTCAGGTTTGCAGTTGGATTGTTACATGGGACTCGTGGTGTCGCCTGCACGACGCGCGACGTGGTTGTATGTATGTACGCGACATGTCAGATGGCCCGTAACGACGTGGGGACTACACGTGACACTCCCCCAAATATGAAGGCAACCTATCGGTGGCTCCTCGTTTCATGTGTTGGGGTGTCATCACCGCTATATGTTGCCCTTCACAGCCGCTTCACGATACATCATGCTTGCAACCCAGGGCGTGCCACCTCTTAGAGGTGCTCGTTCCATTTTCTTTTCGCCCTTCCTCGGAACCCATCGACTATCCATCGGAAAGAGAGGCCACGGGAGGCTGGCAATGGCGTGGCCTCTATGTGTCCGTACTTCAATACCTTGCTCCATGAACGATAACAATCTCACACGTTCGAACCGTTGTACATGTAAGAGGCACAGAAGGCATGACTCGGGCGGGGGACGTTTCCCCTTGCACCATGTACCTGTATTCCTGGCATTATGGCCTAGAGCCGGAAACGATGCTGTTGGAGATACAGGTCGAATTTTGTCTGAGTAGGGAGGCCTCCGTGCCCTGCAGGAATACCGACCGGTAATCAGATAGTGAGACGATCGGCAGGATGTAGCAGTTCGAGGGCTCATGACTGTTGACGTGAGTGTCAGGTCGANATCTGGGTACGGAGGCCTCCGTGCCCTGCAGGAATACCGACCGGTAATCAGATAGTGAGACGATCGGCAGGATGTAGCAGTTCGAGGGCTCATGACTGTTGACGTGAGTGTCAGGTCGATGTGTTGGTCGCGGTAGTCCGGACGCAAGCGAGCTCACCGGCAAGAGCTTTTGGTTGCCATTAGAGGGTTTCAATAGATGGTCTGGTTGGCTTGTATGGCGTCCCCCGAAGCCACGAAAGGGTGGCGACATTCTCACCTTGGAGAACGCATGCCGGTCGATCACACGTGAGACTATCGGAAGGTGAAGAATCTTGTGCGGTGAACGACACCAAGTTCATGCGTGAGAGAGGATGGCGCGGGGATGTGGGTTCATTTCGTGTCTCGCCCACGAGGTAGACGGGCCCGATGTTGAACAAGCCGGCGGCATGACACATGTTTCCTCATGCCCAGTACACCAGCAAC